ACCCCACCTGGAGTGCTGCATCCAGCTCTGGGGCTCCAACATCAGAAGGATATCAAACGATTGGAGTGAATTCAGAGGAGGGCACGAAGATGCTCCGAGGGCTGGAGCACCTCTGCTATGGGGACAGGCTGAGAGAGTTGGGCTTGTTCAGCCTGGAGAAGAGAAGGCTCCGGGGAAACCTTATAGCACCTTCCAGTACCTGAAGGGGCTACAAGGAAGCTGGGGGGGACTTTTTACAAGGGCCTGTAGTGACAGGACAAGGGTAATGGCTTTAAACTAAAGGAGGGTCGATTTAGATTAGTCATAAGGAGGAAATTCTTCATGGGGAGGGTGGTGAGGCACTGGAGCAGGTTGCCCAGAGAAGCTGTGGATGCCCCATCCCTGGAAGTGTTCAAGGCCAGGCTGGATGAGGCTTTGAGCAACCTGGTCTAGTGGGAGGTGTCCCTGCCCATGGCAGGAGGGTTGGAACTGGATGGTCTTTAAGGTCCCTTCGATCTCAAATCATTCTGTGATTCTAATTAAGAACATTCCCTAACACTGGGAGCCTACATGGAAATTATTGACCTTGACAGTTTTGTACAATGTCAAAAACAAGAGAATAGAAGCAAAGCTACTTATTTCATCATGCTATTCTTAAAATAAATGTTGATTATTATGAAAGTCGCTATGCTGAATTCTCAGAGCTCTAAACACCATCAGTGGAAAGTTTTTGGGAAGACATAAGGGCAATGGAGGAGGAGAACACACTGAAGTATTAGGATTACGAATAATTCACTAGAACAAGATCCAGTAAGCCAATTCCAATCTTCACACTGCAAATTATACTTCCCACTGACTGAAATATATACCAGCAACACAAATAATGCACTTCCTACTCTATGCAAGATCAATTTAGATTCACAATTAAAAAGCAGTACATAATTATTTCAGAAGTTCGCATTTCACCGATACTTTGAAAATACATTCTTTTTTTTTTTTTTAAACATTATAGTAATCTGGGCCATGTAATAGGACTGCACAACTGAAATTTCCCATATTGTCAAGGGAATGAAGGAGCTGCTATTAAAAGTTTCTGAAATACAAAGGCTGAGGCAAGATTTGCTAAGTAGGACACTGTCATTAAACCTAATGGAGCTGGGAAACTTCCCAAAGATGGTTTTAATACTCCCAGGCACCTAATACTCAAAGGCACCTCTTTCATTTCTGTATCTGTATTAAGGGCACTTTGGTTGCAGAGCAACACATCGGCACACCTGGATCTGTCCTGAAGCAACTGGACCTTCCAGGCCATGAGAGAGACTCTTTTCAAGTGAAGGAGACCTGCCAGTGGGTACACTGGACTGCAACTTCTGCTTCCCACTAAAATGAAAGCTAAAGAGAAGGGATGGGGGGGAAATTTGCAGGTGTCCTTTTAACTCGTGGTTTGCAAGGTTTAGACCTACAGTTTTATCCCAGAAGGCAGAGGAAACAGACAACATCCCTAAGAAATTTTCAGTAATACTTACGTATCTCTTTCTACATAAGTTACCTGTTCTATAAACCTGTCAGACTGGGGTCCGCATGGCCAAGATGCTAAACAGAGGCTACCAGTTTCTAGTGAAAGTTCAAGGCAGCAAAAATTAACAGTGAAATCCCAAAGCAAGTATAGATGCAACTGTGTTATGTGCCATACTGGTGTATTTAAATAAAATTAAAAACTACTGGTAGCAAGAGCATTAGCCAGAAACTCTCCCACTAAGCCTCAGACAGGCTTTGTTCAGGAGAAGTTTTGTGTATTCTTTGCAGCTGGCACCTTTGGTTCAGTCCTGTCAAAGAATAAATGCTTCTGTCAGGATTTTGCTGGGGGCTCACATGCCTTTGGGGATTGCAACAGACTTCTCTCCCCTCAACTTACGAATCCCCGTGTGTCGGATCAGGTAGACTTAGCAACTGAGAGCAAAGGACAAGTCTGATGCTCTTTACTTTCATTAAAAAAAAAAAAGCAAACATAGGGAGGAAAAACCAAAACATAGCTATCAACTTTCCAACAAGCTGAGTAAGCAGCCTGCCAGGTACCATGTTTTCAACTCTCATTTCACTGTGTGCATTTCTGGAATCAGAGCTGGACTCTTGGACACTGAAATTTTTTTAGTCAGATTATTTCTTCCATGTAATATTCCTCTCAAAGAGGGGAAAAAAAGGAAATCTGAATTCGGATCTAACCTACACCTGGCACTACAGATAGTCAGTTTGCACAAAACTAACTCCAGGGACCTACTAGTGGGAAGGAGGTGATAATGCCAGGCCTCCTTACCGACTTGCCTTCAAAACACTCAGAGCTGCCAAGGGGAGAGGGCTGTGTGTGGGCAAACACTTCAGTAAGAGCTATTAGCCCACCACAGCGGCCCAGGCCACCCTGGCATCACAGGAACAAGTAAGCAAAACCCACTCAAAGAGAAATACAAACATGCTTTCAGTTAAGAAGTTTCTAGGTCTTCCAGAAAGTCAAGCTCCTACTGATAGTACGAACTCCCAAGCAGCAGCAGAATGACATTAAGAAGCTAAATGTTCACGTCTGGCTGGTGAGAAAACAAGAAATTCATGTTGATTTTCTTCTTGTGCTGTTTCAAATAATATGATCCCATCACTAATCAAATGCTAGGAAGCTCTTCCTTCAGTCTCTACATTCCCCTGCAATGCAACTTCCCCAAAACCCTTAGCAGATGGTACACAGCACTATTCATCCCAGCCCTGCAGATGACCCCTTATCACATCAGGTGTACTTGTCCTCAACCTCATGTGTCACCTCCTCCCCTCTCTCTCAAAGCATTCTCGGTATCTCCAGTTTACTTATAAATGCGCACACGAAGACACGCACAGACCAGACTGCTGGAAAACAAAAGATATGTAGGTTTTCTTCAGTTCACTGTTCCTTCCTCTATAAGAGCAATCCTTTTAAAATTCATTGCTGAAGCTGCTAATATGGGGAAAGGATAGATGGTTAGGGCACCCTACACCTCCCTGCATTTTCAACTTAAGTAGAGCATTAAGTTTTCACGTCCGATTTCAAAGCGATGACAGCTCGGTCTGTGTAGGTACAATTTTGTGTTCTGTACATCGCTTAAAGTCGACTCACAGTGAGAAATCGCCTTGAATTCCCAGATCTGCATACAACATTTTTATTTTTCTGTCATCTAGTAGTTCATATTAAATGTTCCCAGTTAGAAATTGAACACACCATGCTTTATTTGACTATGCTGCAAAGTAATAAATCCAGAGTCATAAATGCAACCCAAACTAATCTTAGCAGGCAACATCTAAGTTATTTGGCATACAAGAATCCGGTTTAATCTCATCTTCTATCTGTTATTTTAACATTGAAGCCTTCCACTTGGAAGGAAAATTATTTAGCTTGCAGTATTTCGAGAATACAAACCACTGATTTACCACACCATTTTAATATTGCACTGGCCCGAATACTCTGCTGAGTCGTGTTTCCAACATAGCGGTAATGCCAGGAAGGAAATCATTTTAATTTGGTAATTCTCTGGTCAGTTCTTCAGATCCAATACGACTATACAACATCTGCCGACTACTTCAAGTGACACCCAAAAGCTGTGAACAAATGAAGCACAGCAGCTCACCCCACTTTAGGAGGGTCACACCGTAGCAGAAGCTTTATCTTCTGCACTGGGAGCTTGGGCTCCGAGGGGACCCTGCTTCCAGCCACCCAGGTCTAAGTTTCCTCAGTTCTGCAGTAATACAGGTAAAGAAATAAAAAAACTGAGGTTCTTCTCATTCATAGCAAGGAAATGGTTAAAGGATCTGCTTAAATTGAAATGTTAAGCCGCTCTGGCTTTTATGGGCAGAGATTGCAGCTCTTGAAACGAATGCCCCAGCACACATACACAGCGATTTTAAGTATTTGATGTGGGTATTAACACCTAAAAATTGTGTGGATTAATTTTTTCTTAAATAACAAATTTTGAATTCAGTGACCTACTCGTTTCAATCAGATGATTCTGTCAAAACTAAGCAAGTGCTTCAGAAGGGTACAGCATCAGGACAGCAGATGGGACGGAAAGTGGGCTGTTTTTAGAAAGTGGCAGACCAAAACACTTACTTAAGAGGGTCTCTTAAAGAACATAGGAGTTAAACATTTTAAATATTTCACAATCTGGTTTGCTTTGATTTCACAGAGTTAGCAGACACTACTGAGGCATAACACACGGCCAAGACCTGATCCTTCAGATAAAGCACTCAGGAAAAGCTGAGAGTCAGAAAATGTCATCACCAGCACAATGGTACTCAAAAAGGGTACCCCCTATGCTCTTCTCTGCTTTCTCCTTTAAGATGATCCAAGAGAACAGTAAGATTATAACTTTTAAGTAATTATTCTTAAAGAATGTAGCAGTGTAGAAAGAAAAGCAAGTCTAACCCTCTTCCAAACCCAAGTTCAAACTTTCGGTGCCATTCTGGCACCCAGTCCCTTTTCAGCTCTGAGCCTACACCTTACTGCCCTGCCCAAAGTATGTGACCTCCCTCCTGTGCAGGGACAACACCCTGTGTGGGTTTGCCAGATGTGTGCTACAAACATCGACTGAACCAGGCAGGAATTTTAATCCGTCCACTTCTTTCTTCCCAATATGAGTATTTATATTAAGTAGCTTAGGGAGACCTGGCAAGACTGCTTAAAAACACGACTTTTCCTCACATTTGGATCACTTTAAAAAACACAGGTACTTTAAAACTGTTGAGTTCACAGATTTTGCTACACTGGATCTTGGTGCCTCTTTTTAACGGCAGCATAGTCCTGAAAGCCTGACAGCAACTCTAACACGATGCCACTGAGCAAGACACCTCCAAAACCCAACTGTCATCCCTCCACAAGCACGGAAGAGCCACTAGCAAAAGCTGGGTTGCTTTCACTGTTGTTAAAAGAGAAAGAAACCAAGGTTTCTTCCCAGAAAAGGAGGCAACCTCCACCAGCGACACCGGCCACTACCTCAAAGCCATTCTTCCACCCTAAGCTCCTTCCTTGGCCGCAGGACTCACCGCAAAGACCGCGTTCTGCAGCCCGAAGGGGATGGGCGTCAGCCGCGCCAGAGCCACCACCTTGAGGCCGCTGCCACCCTCCACGACACGGACGACGGCGCTGAGCTTCTCGCTGCCCTGGATCCTACCAGCCGCTTGCAGGCCACGTGGGCGACGAAGGTGCCGACGAGGACGCCGAGCACCATCAGCCCCATGCCCAGCACGAAGCCGTAGAGGTAGCCGGCGGCCACGTTGAGCAGGATGTAGCCCCAGCCGCAGGGGAAGGACACAATGATGAAGCCCAGGGTGAAGAGCAGCACGCCGGCCAGGCTGTCCAGGCTCTCGGCCCAGAGCAGCAGGTCCCGCAGGTACTGGCGCACCAGGG